GGAAAAATCCTCCAGTAACATGGCACAAATCTTTATTCTGAAGTTGATAGATCTGCTTTGTGCTTCTAAGAACGTAGTCTAATCAAGTTCCCTCTAGCCTTTCCTAGCTATAGATATTCACTGCCGGTGGGGATTTGAATGGCTCTGAATGCCAGAAGATCCTCTCTTTGTAACAAAATAAAAAATGCAGTACTTACAAAATATGTGATTAAGCATACAACATCACAGCAAGAAACACGTGTACATAGATTTCTTTTTTTGAAGACATAACCTTTGAACAGTATTTTATAAATAATGTATATCCAAAGCTAATGTTTCATACTGCCCTTTTTCTTAAAGTTCACAAGGCAGATATTTTCATTTATCATATTGAAATGCATATAAATCTATTTATTTTGTGAGCAAACACAATGGATATTTGCAGTCCATGACTGGGTTTTTAGGTGAAGTATATTAAATTCTCCTCCTTCCTCCCCCAATAGTACAAAGATTGAAAATGTGCACCATAGCAAGTTTACTGTGGGACTTTGGCTGGGCAGAATCCAAAACGGCTGTTGAGGGAACATCTTGAAAAGCAGTAAACTGCAGTGGCACCATACAGCAAATAAATGAGACAAAAGATAAATAAGAAAGGAATATTTTTTTAAAAAAATCAAAATTCTTTCTGATGTAAGCTAATGAACGTAAGTCGGAGGTTGGTTTTTTTTTTTCCTTTTAGTGAATGTTGGTTGTAATTTCATTTAACTTAAATCTTTTTCAGGTCGTTATGCTTTCCACCTTTGGAAACCATTAGAGCAGGCAATTACAGAGACAGCAAAGAGGATTTCAACTTCTGTAAGTTTAGAGGTTACTTAATACTAAATTTATGATTGTATGTTTTCAAGTATTTAGAAAGGGGGCATTTTATGTTAAATACGGTAAGTGCCAGTTAGATTTTTCTTTTTTCCCCCCCAGGATACTCCTTCCTGTGTATGTTATGGTATATTATCTGGTATATTTTAAATCCCTGTAAATGAAGCTATGTCAAAAGATGTTTGTGAGTTTGATACACAGTTCTGAATTTCCTGGTGATGTTCGATGTTTCAGAGCTCTGCCAGTAAGTGTATGATAAATTGTTGAAGTGTGCTGTGAAAAAATAGCTAATTCCTAGCGATTACAAAGTGATGACATGCAGTTTCATTTCAAGAAGCTAAAAATGAAAGAACTTAGTCAGATACAGTGTTTAAAATCAAGAAGACACATCAGTAAACTTCTAGGAAAGGTTGCCATAGAGATGGGGGAGCTTGTTTTCTTGTTTACATGTGAGTTGTCTTTGTTTTCTTCCCTGGCTAATTTGAACTTTTAACCAAGCTTTTGTTCTTTGTTTTGCCCTACATATTTAAAAATACAATCATGAGGTAAAAAATCAAGAGGTAGAGTGTTGTGAGAGGACTACACATAGGGAATATTTGAGATGTACTTTTTGCTTTTTGCATTTACTTTTTGCTTCACTGGCTACACTGTCCTCTGGTAAATAAATAAATATGTTCCATTCCTGTTTGATTAAAGTAATTCCCAATGAGGTAGGTGACTGCTTGTGGCAGTGCATTCTTTCAGAGTTCATAGGCTGTGAACACTTATCCACAGTGGAAGGAATACAATGTCCCTGTGGATGCTGATGGGTGAGGGTGTTGAGGCAGTAGTTGTTGCAGATTATTATGTTCCAGGTTATTATTTTTTTTTGAGTGATTATTAGCATTGTATCTATTTATGTGAGGCCAGTTGCAACACACCTTGTCTGTCTACTGCATATACAGTTTATAGGTAAGATGCTACGGTCCAAATTCATTTGCCATCTATACTTTATGTTCATGTGCTGCA